TTATTACAGTGGTTTTTGTCATCAAAGCTCCAGCACCAGTTTCTTCATAACCTGGATTTGAGGCTCTGTCTTAAAGAAATTGTTAAAATGTTCAATTGAGACAGACATAACTTCATCTGAAACTTTGCTCATATTCCTGAATAACTCTGCAAAGGAAGTGTGAAGAACAGGGAGAGAACAGGGGCCTGGTCGCTCAACGCCCTAAAACAGGTTGACCTGGTTATAAAACTCCAAAAATGTGGATCTTTTTCAAGGGCCTGTACTTATTGAACGATTGTGTAGCCGGCTGGAAATGTTGGGAAAATGAAGGTATATGCTTGAACACTGTGAACATGGCCTCAAAAATCCATTCTGGTTAAAATATATTGTTTAAACTAAAATGTCCCGCGCTGCAGTTTTTATTCTCTATCAAACTTCATGTTTGAGCGTCTCTTATCTGCTTTTCTGCAAACACTGGATGTTTTCTCTATATTTCTGATAAACTGTTAAAGAAAAGTTAACAACCGCTGTCAGATAAACAGCCCTGTAATAAATCCTCCCCTCATTTAGGTTGTGATGTGTTGATTTAGCTGTAAGGTCATTCAGAAGGCTGCAGTTTGAGGCGCTGTCCAACTTCACAGAGAGAAGTTTTTGTTGTTTAAACTACACTCTCTAAAGCAGGCACATAATAAAAACCTGTCAAAACAAGGCAACATTTGTGTCATTCAGTTTATTATTATTACACCACTGCAGTGGGCGTCGTATCTCCTGTCATTCTATGTTTCCTCCTCCGCTCGCAACATTGGGCTGACAGGAAATTAAGAAGCCTCAGCAAAGAGCAGAACTGTCTACAAGACGCAGAGAGAAGCAGCACGGTGATAACGCAGCAACACAACAATCTCGTGTGAGATCAAGCAGAGACTCCTAACAACTAAGTAAGTGACTTTATTTTTTTAAAATCCATTTTTTAAAATTGTTTTATTGAGTTTGGTTTAGTTTTAACCAACACGTTTACCTTCTTAGAAACAGCTCCTGCATGGAGGGGAGAGTCACCGAGGTTTAATATCTAATATAAAAGCAGTAATATAAAACACTGAGTGTCTCACAAACACTGTCAGATGAAGTGTTGCCTTTATTTGTGTTCAGTATTTTCACTTCCATCTTTTTGGATCATCTCTGAAACAAAAACAGTCTAATGTGTAAAAACGTCCATAATACTTTTTAAATACCTGAACATAAACAGATGAAAGTTAGTTTCTTCAGAAATGTGTTAGACGCGAATGTCTTTAGGTGCACGTCACTGATGCTGTGAGCAAAAGATTAGTTTCCAAAGTAAAAGCAAAAGGGGAAAAACTGAATGGAAACATGTTTGTGTTGCTACAGTTACAGACGACGGGGTGCGATGCAGCAGTGTGAACAAAAACCAACCCACACTTTCATTTGACTTCACACTAACAAAACAACCCCCCCCCCGCCCCAATCGACCATCATGAACGTGAGCAACGTGACCATCATGAGCTGCAGCATCCCCTCAGTGGAGTATCAGTACTACCTCTTCCCAGTGGTCTACATCCTGGCGTTAGTCGTAGGTCTACCGGGAAATCTGGCCGCTCTCTTCGTCTTCACCTTCAAAATCACCCCTCGCACGGCCTTCAGCGTGTACATCAGCAACCTGGCCCTGGCGGACATCGTCATCCTCTGCACTCTGCCCTTCAGGATCCACTACCACCTCAACAGAAACAACTGGGTGTTTGGGGACGTCGCCTGCCGAATCACAGGGACACTGTTCTTCTCCAACATCTACATGAGCATCTGCTTCATGACTTGTATCTGTGTGGACCGCTACATGGCCACGGTGCATCCTCACGCCTACCTGAGGCTGCGGAGGCCCTGGCGCTCTCTGGCTGTGAGCGTGACGCTCTGGTGCATCGCTGGAGTGGCGATCGTGGCCTTCATCCTCATGGGGCCTCTGGAAACAAAAACCGACCAATCTGGACGCCACAGCTGTTTTGAGAACTTCGCCAAGAGCGAGTGGGACACGCGCCTGGCGGCGTACAGCCTGCTGAGCCTGATCTTCTGCTCCCTGCTGCCCTCCGTGATCATCCTGGTGTGTTACCCTCTGGCTGTGAGGCGCATCGCCATGATCAGGACTAAAACGGCCCAAAGAGCCGTGAGGGTCATTTACGTCATCCTGGCCATCACGCTGCTCTGCTTCCTGCCCAACCACCTGGTGTATCTGCTGCACCTCCTGCGACGCATGGGTGTCATCAAGAGCTGCACCGCTGCCAACCGCATCTACGACGCCAGGCGGATCACCATGGCCCTCATCACCCTCAACACTGTGCTGGACCCCGTGCTGTACTATGTCACCACCGGCCACTGCAAATGGAGCCGCTTGAAGATGACGTGGCTGTGTGGACGAGTGCGGAGGACCAGAGGTGTTTATACGATTGCAGTGGACTGAGAGAACTGAACCTGTAGTTTTAGAATGTAAATACAACTCTGCTTCCTTGTCTATATATGTAACTGGAGACTTTTATATAAAAGTGTTTATTAAAATTGTCATTTTACATCAAAATAAAGCGACAGACGAATACAGCCATCTTATGTTTGGTGTTTTTAATCTTGTGGGTTGTGTCTTGAAGTGAGTCTACGATGTCCGCATGAAAGAACGGACCAATCAGACCAGAGTCCTTCGAAATTTAAACAAATAGATTTAAGATCCCAACAAAAGAAGAAGAAGAAGGGGGGGGGGTTATCAGTGCTGGTTTGTAGCCTCCAGAGAATCCAGGATCCAATGAATGGTAGAGCGAGAATCATTCCCTTCAAATGTTTATTGCTTTGGGTCAAAAGAAAAGGGATTTCAACAGAGACCAGCTGGAAGCCCCTTCTTCAGCAGAGTTGAGAGGAAACTGCCCAGATCTTCGTCCTGACGGAGGAAAAAAACAATTTTAAGTCAAAACCAAAGCAACTTAACCCTGAAACTTGATGGCAGGTTGTGGTATGGGTGGTTTCATGAGGGGACTGTCGGCCTTCCTGCCGTTCTGGTTTCACCTTTGCTCTTCATGCTATGAACACAATCTACACATCTTGTAAAACCACCCATAAATGAAATAAGGTGAAATATTATTGCAGTAGCTCAGTCCACAGAGATTTGGCTTGGGAACCGGAGGGTGGTCGGTTCAAGTCCAGCATGGACTAGAAAGTATGGACACTGCTGAGATGCCCTTGAGCAGGGAACCAAACCCCCAGTTGCTCGCAGGACGCTTCTCCCGGGGGCTGCCCATCACTCTACCATCTCTCTCCATATTTGCATGTTTATGAGCCATTTGTGTGTGTGGGGGGGTTGTGGGTTAAAAACTGCATGTATAAAAAATGAGTGTAAAAAGAATTTCCCCCTTGAGGGATCTTCTTCTTCTTTACTGTTTGGTAATAATTACAATAG